AACACAAAAGCATAGATGAAAGTTATGAAATGGAACATAAAAGGAGTATGAAATACTGGTTTCCAATATTGTAAAAGCATATTGTAAACTTGCTCCAATTTAAATAAAAACTGTTTTGAAAAGTGATGAATTATTTTTGAAAAGTATTGTAGTCGCACGCAATCCCCCTGTTATGATGAAAAGCCAAGTAACGTCGAATTTTTTTCTGCTTACGCCTACGCCTAGTCGTTTTATTCACCTTTTTGCGAAAATATGAAATATGTACGACTAAATGCACGAGTCATTTCAAAATCTGTTAGATCTGACAAAAATCGATTCCTCAATGGAACATTTTAATTTGAAAGGGCTATGGTAGAATGCGTGACACTTTGATCATGCCAATGTGTTCCAAAGAAAAAGAAAAAAAGATGAGTTTTGAATGGATGGTAAATAGTAGGCTGACACTTCAGAGTTTCATGACAAAGTCTGGAAAAGATCTGAGATAGGCTCATAACATCCCGTTGGTAACTCGATACTATCAGCTAGTTTTTAAGCCTTTCTTTTTTATCTTTGCTAATGTGCTGAATAATTTGTTGCAATACCTACATATTTCAGTTTGAAAATGGTTCGATTATTACATGAAAAAGGTTAGTTATCAATAATCTGTGCATATTTCAACTTTTTCTTTCCTATACTACATTTGTAGGTGAATTAGATGAACATTGTATGCCTAAACGACAAAATCTCGACACACTTGCTATAACTGATGAAGAAATGTTTAATTGGGTGCACGATAAAAAGCGACCAGATATTATTGATAAACAGGTAGAAAGAAAATTAATTTTAGCAATTTTTATTAATATTATCGATTTGTTACTGGTTTTTAGATTGCTATATGCTCACGTTCACTACAGGATAATGACAATAATAATAATAATTGCTGGCATTTGTATCGAATAAGGATGATATCGTCGGATGGTAGTATATTTAGAAAAGAACTGGGTTTTATTGTTCCATTTCAAATGCCTAAGGTGAATTATAAATAATATTCTCCTATCATAATGAATAATAGTGTATAACTGTCATTTAAACTTTATCATGATAAGATTAAAATGCCCACGTTCAATCTTACACCGACGAGAGAATCTTTGCAAGTGTTCAATCGCTTTTTTCTTAAAACATGCACGATTGTCGATAATCTTTGATTATCGAAAATAATCAAAAAAATTAAATGAAATCCGGATGTCCAAAGACCCACTTTGAACTTCCAGCTGAACATATTTTGACGTCATCAGATCATAGAGCACGTTGAATTATCTATATGGGAAAATGTGCAGAATCAACGAACAAGTTTTCGCAGAAATAGAAAAATTTTACTTTCTAATCCAGTAGTATTAACCAAAATATTTCAAATTAATTTTTGAACCCTAAAATTTTTCTGTCTCTGCGAAAACTTGTTCATTGGTTCTGACCATTTTCTCACATCAAGTAATTCAACGTGCTCTATAATCTGGTAATGTCAAAATATGTTCAGCTGGAAGTTCATAGCGGATGTTTGGACATCCGGATTCCAGCGATCCATCCCAGAAAGACCTGGCAACAGAAACGGATATCATATTCGTGATCAGCATCAAAGATTATCCACAATCGTGTATATTTTAAGGCAAAAGCGATTGGACACTTGGGAAGTTTCCCTTGTGAGACCGCGATTGGCGGAAAATATTCCTTTCTGTTCCTTGAAAGTCATTAAAGAAAGATACTTTATTAAAACATATAGAGAGCAGAAGAGCAAGAGCAGGGCAACAGATCGTAATCTAATCTTTTGTATCTCCTTATCAACAACGATAATCAATCCATCTGTTTTGCATTGATTTCTGTATTCGGAAATCTTCGCTTAAGTGTGTCAGATCATTGTTAAAAAGCTGTTATATTTTCTGATTGCTTTGGAGCCGATGCTCCAGCACTAAGTTGCATAGTGTTGCATTAAGCATATGGATGGAATGATGATGAGGCGTTAATCATTGCAGCCATACTGAACTTCATCACACTTCACTTTTTCAATGAATAACTATAATTGCTAAGAGATTGGGGAAGCTGTACTAATCGGATGAGAACCAATAATCATCTTAATGATAAAAATACGTATATCCTTTTCAATAATTTTCGAGAAACAGAAAGGGAATCTTTTCCTTTTCAACATTTTTCCATTAGAGCCTTTGACATCAGGCATTATGATGTCAATGGACAAAATTTCTTTTGATTAATATTATTTTTATTTGTTCAGTAAAGTCATAATGATTTTGTATTCTTCACTTGCAGTTATATACTATATTTAGTCACGCTTAAGTGTCTACGGCTTTCCATATGGATTATTTCTTCTTTTTTTAGTTATCTCCATTTAATATTTATGATACAGATGAAATATACACAATTGAAGTTATATATGTTGATGAAATTGATTATAATACTTATCAAAGTGAAATTAATTCATTTTGTCCATTTCTATTTGAAAAAGTATTTACTATTGATAAAAATATTCTAAAATATGATCCACATCAATCATCGTATAAAATGTTGCCCTGTTTACTTGATGATTGTAAGTAAAACGAAAATAAATAATATTTTTTTCTTATGTAGATCATAGTTCTTGTTTTAGGGAATAGAATTGATATTGTACGAATGGCTGAAATGATTGAACGGGCACAAACAACTGTAAAAGATAATTTAGATTTGAATGAAAATGATGTTTATATATATTCTGTGCCAAATTCAAATGAAAAAGTTTCTCTTATTCTTGATACGGATGCTGATAATAATATTCCACTAAAATCAGCTAACAGTTTAGATCATAATGGTGAAACATATGTGGACTATTATAAACGAAAATATGGATTAATACTCAAATATCCTGATATGCCCATGGCTCGTTTAAAATATGCTGCTCGATTAACAATGAATTTTTTACATTGTGATCATGAAATTAGAAAAAAAACAAAAACATGTGATCGTGAATCAATGTATTATCCAGTTGAAGTATTAACTTATGCTGCTTTAAATAAACAAGATTTTCAATTATTTAATAAAATGCCATCAATTTTTACACGTATTACACAATTATATCATATTGAACGATTACGTAAATATATCGGTGAAAATCTTCATCATTATAAGGTGGATATGACATTTATTTATCGATAAGTTTAAACTTACTTGTTAATTAAAAATTTCTTTTTCATTTTAGTTATCGACTGTAGCTGTTGAAGACATGTCACCAGTGACGTTTCAAGATTGTTTAAGAAATAGTGGTAATTAATTTGGAATGTAAACACTATTTCTCAGATTCAGGTTTTTACGGAGAACAAGAATAAAAAACTTCGAAGGTTTCCAAGCACGCTCTGTTCGAATTTTACGTTCGTTTTCAAAAAATAAGCGGTTTTTAGAAATTAAAAATTTTCAGTTTCTTTTAAATTTTCTACATTAAAATTTTGATTCGAAAGGTTAAAACACACGTTTTATTTTTGTTCAGCTCGACGAGCTCTATCCAACTATTTATAGATATCGCAAAAATAAATTTTGCTTAAGTTTTGAATTTCCGGTGTCTTATAAAAAAAAAAAGTTTTTTCTATGGCATGATTATGTTGTAATATACGAATGGTTCCTGCGATATTTCTTGTATGATTTATGTTTTTTGTTTTCTTTCTTTATAGTTCCTCATAGCAGTATAAATAATAATCATGTTATAACAACAACACAAACGGTAAGAAATATTTTCTATAGAAAGAATACTTTATTAAAAATCATGAGTTATTTTAGTTTACACAAACATGTTTAAAATTGCCACTTATTGATTTGACCTACAATAATGTTATGTCTATTTCATTAATTAATCATCATGATCAATTAACACCTCATATACTATTTCAAGCAATCACACGTCATTCAACGGGTGAAAAAATGGATATGGAAAATTTAGAAATATTAGGTGATTGTTTTTTAAAATTAGCTGTATCATTATCAAAGTATTATAAATATCCACAAGAAAGTGCCGGATTTTTAACAATTAGAAAAACACATTTTATTTCAAATTTAACATTGTATCGTCGTATAACGGAAAAAAATTTAAAATCATATTTATATACACAAAAAATTGTTTATCGTGGTAAAGAAGCAAATTGGTTACCACCGGGTTATATTGTGACAAATGAGAATGTTGAAGAATTAAATAATAATAATAACAATATTTATGAATTGGGTAACAGAATGTACCTCAAACAAGTGGTGAAACAAAAAGCATTTGCCGATATGGCTGAAAGTTTAATTGGTGCAATATTAATAACAAGTGGATATAGTTGTGCAATGAAATTTATGGATTGGTTAGGTTTAGATGTATTTCCAAAAGATGAAAATGGTACAGTTTCTTTTGTTCATACAGGGTGGCCCCCAAAACAAACTTATTCTCTCTGTATTTATTGACTTTCTTGTGTACAAATATAATTGAACTTCTTAGCGATCAGTTCAGTCGAGTAAAGTAAAGATTTCTGGACAAAATGAGATGTTTCTGAGCTCTTCTGATGAAACAGCATTCAATTTACGGAAGACCCTAAGATCGTATCTTTCTTGTTTTCCCGTTAATTATCCGGATTTTGGTGGTATGGAACCTTCTGTAAATTAAATACTGTTTCATCAGAAGAGCTCAGCAGGGATGCCAACTAAAAAAGAAATAAAGGGGGACAAATCTAGGAAAAAGAGGGACATAAGAGGGACTTTTTCTTCTACAAAGGAGGACAAGATAAAATGCTGAGATAAAGCTTTTTATTTACATTTTCTGAACATTTATTTTTAAAATCGGACATTAATTATCTAAAAGTAATTAGATAAGCAGAAAAACAAGACATTTCGCTCGAGGAAGATAATGAGAATTTG